AGCTGCAACATGTTATGTCCCCAGCAGTAAGTATGGGGGCTTCGATTTCTTCCCATCCTTGCCAACACTTACTATTTTTTGACTTTTTGATTACAGCTGTCACAGTGGATGAGGTGGTATCTAACTGTGGTTTTGATTTGCATTTCCCTGATGGCTATGAAGTTGAGCATCTTTTCATGGGTTTATTAGCCATTTGTATATCTGGAGAAATGTCTATCTAGATCATTTGCCTGATTTATAGTTGGGGTGTTTGTCTTTTTATTGTTGAATTATAAACGTTCTTTGTCTATTTTTGGATACAAGTATCTTTAAAACTTTTTTTTTTAATGTTTTATTTATTTCTAGAGGAGAGAGGAGACAGCGTGAGCAGGGGAGGGCCAGAGAGAGAGAGGGAGTCACAGACTGAAACAGGCTCTAGGCTCTGAGCTGGCAGTCAGCACAGAGCCCGACGCGGGGCTCGAACCCACGAACCGCGAGATCACGACCTAAGCGAAAGTCGGACGCTTAACCGACTAAGCCACCCAGGCGCCCCTGGACTGTAGATTTCTTATAAAAGTCATGAGGTGAAGTTAGGGTTGGTTTCCTCGATGGCCCAAGAAACACTGGGATTGTCCACAAATAGGGTGTTGGCTGGAGTACACGAGCCCTTCCAGTGTTACCGAGAAGCCACGTGCCGCCGCCTGAAACACACCTCTGTCTCCTCTTGATCACCATGTGCTTTCTCTTCCCAACAGAGAAATCGTGGCTCTGGTGGCCCAGGTGATTCCAATCTCTGCTGTCTCCCACGTGTACGAAAGTCTTGCCGTAAGTGTTACGCAGTGTTCCCATCAAGCGCCATGTTTCTTCTGATGGTGGTAAATCTAAACTGAAAAGAGCATCTGGGGGCGCATGAGTGGCTCAGTTGGTTAAGTGTCTGGCTTCGGCGCAGCTCAGGTCATGATCTCAGAGCTCGTGGGTTCGAGCCTTGTGTCGGGCTCTGTGCTGACAGCTCAGAGCCTGGAGCTGCTTCGGAGTCTGTGTCTCCCTCTCTCTGCCCCTCCCCCACTCGCCCTCTGTCTCTCAAAAAATGAATAAATGTTAAACAAAAGTTAAAAAGGAAAAAAGAAAAGAGCAGTTGGGGTGGGGCAGGTGGGGAATACTGAATAGTTTTATCGTAGTCACTTGATAACACACGGGATTCGGATTTTAGGTTCAAGCCCCCCCATCCCCCGCCCCGGGATGGGAAGTGCGTGGAGACAGGAGTCTTTCAGAAGCCTCAGCGATGTTCTCACTGTTGGGTGTTCTCTGCCTACAGTGCACATGTGGTGGCATTCTGCGGGGAAGCGGCAACCAGAAGGTTGGGGCCATTGTCAATGCCATTGGCTATTACCTGGTCGGTCTCCCAATCGGGATCTCGCTGATGTTCGCGGTCAAGCTGGGACTGATTGGTAAGCATTACCCACGGGCAGACAAATCTGTTCCTCGTGGGCGCTGGAAGGGACTGTCTGAGCACAGAGGCTTTTTTTTTTTTTTTTTTTGACACTTGGCCCTGGACCTCTGAAACTTTCGCACGCTCATTCTGCGCCCTGTCTGAGAGAGCAGGGAGTGGACAGCAGGCAGCCAGGGGCCCAGGGCTGCAAGTTCATGCCCAGCTTGGCCCCCCTTTCACACTAGCACACAGATCCACTTGAGCAGAGCAGGATGACCTTTCTACTCGTCTCCCTGTCCTGTGTCCTCACTCACCTCCTCAGAGTTGGGGAGAACAGGAGTCCCCAAGAAGCACTGGGAAACGTGCCTTTTGTGGCCTCGGTTCTGTCCTTGGATAGAAGCACTTGTATGGGGAGCCCCGGAGAGCGAGTCCGCAGGTCTGCTCATGGCCGTCACAGACTGGCCTCCTTGGAGCGTTTGCGGCGAGGCAGGGGAGGCCATGGCTCAGCACGGTGTGATTTTTACAGAACTTCCAGCAGCTTCCATGCTGACTGTATGCACCCTAGAGCATGGCCCCGTGTCAGCCCACACAGCACCGCGAGCTGTGTTCTCAACGTCCCCTTCATTGCCCTTCTATTACCCGTATCTCCCGCCTGGTACAACCTTTTAAGCCATGTGCCTTGCAGGTGTCCCCAGAAGGGCATGGGCGTGATGTGTGTGAACAGCACAGAACGAAGGCTCGGGTGTGAGGGGACTCTATCACCTGGACACACTTAGAGGAAAAAACTTAATCCGTACAATCTAGAATTACCAGAGCTGATCTTTAAAAACATACAGAGGGGCACCTGGGTGGCTCAGTCGGTTAAGCATCCAACTTCTGCTCAGGTCATGATCTCGCAGTTCATGAGTTCGAGCCCCGCGTCGGGCTCTGTGCTGACAGCTTGGAGCCTGGAACCTGCTTCAGATTCTGTGTCTCCCTCTTTCTCTCTGCCCCTCCATTACTCATGCTCTGTTTCTCTCTCTCAAAACTAAACAAACATTAAAAAAAATTTTTTTTAAGTATAGAAACAAATGACTGCCCAGCTTTGATTTCTAAAATAATAATTTGGAATACACTGGTGGTTAACACATGATTATGTTAAAACCTGAATACAGTATCTTTGGGAGAAGGGGTGACGGACTTAAGCAAGGCTCCTCTTTATCTCTCAGTACTTGGCAGGCTGGGAGCAGTGAGAAGTCATCTGACACCTTGGTGAACTTCCCGTCCCATTATGCTGCACCTTGCTCTCCAGTTCAATAATATTTTAGTGAAAAATACGGGAGACGTTCAAAGAATGGAGTTGCCAATGCAAAGTTCACGGGGCTTTCAGCATGGTGCAGAAAATTCTTTAGCTGAGTTTCTGGCATTAATTCATATTTTGGGTTTGCCCCTGGCCTAGCTAAGGGAAATACTGGAGGAATCCACTTAAAAATCCAGATCTATCTGCGTTTCCAGTGCTGTACGAGGCCCACTTGTTCCTTTGACAAAAGACTTATCTAGCATGTATGAAGCAGAGGGAGTTAAGAAGCCCCTTTTAAAAGAAATGCTGTGGGGGGAGGGAGCCCGGGTGGCTCAGTGAGTTAGGCATCTGACTTCAGCTCAGGGCATGATGTCGCGGTTCATGAGTTCGAGCCCCGCATTGGGCTCTGTGCTGACAGCTTGGAGCCTGGAGCTTGCTTTGGATTCTGGGTCTCCCTCTCTGCTCCTCCCCTGCTCGTTCTCTCTCTCCCTCTCTCTCTCAAAAACAAACATTAAATTTAAAAAAGCGCTGTGATACAAACTTCCACTTATAAAGTAAGTCCTGGGAGAGACCCTAGGCAGAGATTGAAAGGCAGGCAGGGGAGTGGGAAGGTTTTGTAGCGGGGGGAACGGGAAGGCTTCGGGTGTGCCCTGATGGACGCTGGTGGCCTACGGTGGGAAGCCGGCGAAGGAGTAGTGACACATCTTATGCAATTGGGCAGGGGTGCATGTGGCTTCTCTCTGCTTGGTCCTACATTGGAAGCAGGGACAAAAATTAGGGAAGCTGTCAGTTACTAAGTCAAATCCTGGCCATTTGGGGTTGTCTGTTGCAGAAGTTTTGTTTACAATCCCGGGAGTGTCCCTAGGGATTAGGGACAGTAGTCTGGCCTTCCGCATGTCTGATGTGTAACAGGCTGGCTTTTCAATGGTTGATTGTGAATAAGGGGTTTCCTGGCTATGTTGTTACAGAGTGTGGATCAAAGTTCTACTTGGATATATGGTGTGGCCATTGTATGTTTAGTGTCTCAGTCTCCCCTTTCTCAAGGAAAATTAGAGAAAACCGGGGGAATTTAGAGAAAGCTAGAGAGCCAGTTCTTCAAAACTTGAAGATTGTCCAGTCCTCTTCATAGTCAACTGTATTGCAAGGTCTCCTCGAGCTCCTTGATGTTGGACCATCATGGTGACCATCATGGTGAGTGGTTGTGCAGAACCATTCAAGGTTTGGGAAAAACTGCAACTAACCAGGGTCACAGCCATTGACCGGGTCCCTTCCAACCAGGTTCACGAGCAGTTTTCTCAGCTTTCTCTCCCAGTAGGTGAAATCTTTTGGCTAAAAATGATGGAGAAACGGTTTATGAAGATCCTGTGGGGAGGCAGCCTTAGGCTGTTGGCGGTAGGACCCTGGTGATATTTTGCATGTGGCGCATCAATCTGGTCAGGCTGGTATTGGTGGTGAAATCCCTAGACGTAGGGCTTCCAGTCCCTAATTCATAGAGGGCAAGCGATGTGCCCCTGAGGGAGCGGGCTGTATGCTGTAAATGCAGTGTGCAAAACTACCAGGAGGGGGCGCCGGGGGTGGGGACTCCGTTGGTTAAGTGTCCAACTCTTGATTTCAGCTCAGGTCATGATCTCACAGTTGGTGACGTGGAGTTCTCTCCGCCCTCAGGCTGACAGTGTGGAGCCTGCCTGGGATTCTCTCTCTCTCGCTCTCTCTCTCTCTCCCCCTCCCCATGCACTCTTGCTCTCAAAATAAATAAGTAAAAAATTATAAAGAAAAAAAACTACTGGGAATACTTTTGGCCAAGGGAACTCAAGGGTTTCTGAAAGTTTTGCTGATTTCAATTTAAGGATGATATTGGGCCTTTCCACTTTCCCAGAAGATTGTGGGTGATGAGGATGGCATAATTTTTGAGGAAGGAGTAGTACTTGAGAGTTCCTTTATGTGGTTCCCAGAAAGCATGTACCATGTACCGCAGTCACTTGATAGAAAATTTGGACGCTGAGACCTATAAAACCTGAGACATCAGGTTGGAAATACAGTCAAGCAGCTTTTCAGTGACGGTAAGAGCTGTGGCTTTTCAGCAAGGAAGTGCTTCAGTCTGTCCTGAAAATAGACAACCGATAACTAAAACGTATTTAAATCCCATGGAGGATGCAAGTTGGACAAAGTCCATCTGTGTGTGTTCAGAGGCCCCTTGAGGCCTGCTTCCTGGCCATGCCAGCCCTCACGGTCTCTGCACTGTTATGTTGGTCACAGGTGACGCGTGACCTGAAAAAAACCTCAGCTGTTTTTTTTAAAGTTTCTCCACCAACGTTGATTTCAGACACTAAGCGACCCGTCTCCTCTGTGATGAACCGGGTCATGGAGAAACTTTAGCTGACATCCATTTGAAGTCATCTTGTGATGTGATGGATCCAACCACGTTTTTTCCCATTAGTCGTCTTCAAAGTCAAAGGCTAAACGTTGATCTTCTACAGTGGCCTCTTTGAAGCCTCCAGGGGTCTATCTTTTGAGGGCCCAGATAGGATCAGAACCTGGTTAAAGCGACTTGTTTGGCTCAGTGATCTGCAAGGGCTTCCTTTTAGCATCTGCATTCTCTTGTTTAACGGGGGCCGCAATCTTTACAGCAGCTCTCTCTCCGGGAAATAGAAGTATGTTTAAAGTTTTCCTTGCTGCCATCCATCTGCAGTAGGGGCTCCAGCAGAAGTGAGAAACCCTCTCTGTTTCCAGAAGAGCCCCAAATCAGGGGCTTCTCCTAAAGCATCAGTCTGCCATCTGGATACATGTCTCTTTGGTCCTTGCTGGGTGACCTGCTTTAGGGATCACAGATCTGCCACCGGCGCAGATTTTTTACCTCAGGTAGAGGACTGCGTTCTAATATTTTGTTTTATTTATTTATTTATTTATTTATTTATTTATTTATTGAGAAAGAGACAGAGCAAGAGCAGGGGAGGGGCAGAGAGGGAGACACAGAATCCAAAGCAGGCTCCAGGCTTTGAGCTGTCAGGACAGAGCCCGACGTGGGGCTCGAACTCCCGAACCGTAAGATCGTGACCTGAGCCGAAGTCTGATGCTTAACCGACTGAGCTTCCCAGGTGGCCCTGGAGGGCTGCATTCTGCAGGGGAGCTCACCCTAGTGATGGCACATCCTACTGGTGATCTCCAGCCTCAGTGCTTAGGGACGATTCATCAGCGAATACTATTAGGTCAGCGTTCTCCAGGCAGGTCTGTAACAAGGCTGAGCGCGGTGCGGAGAGCTCCATAGGTCAGGGAAGACCATGGTTCAGGGCGTTGCAGTGGTGAATAGTAATGTGAGAAGAGATCACGACAGAATAGCTTAAGCGGTTCAGGTCCCCCCCCCCCCCACGCGAAGAATGGTGTGTGTGTGATCAGTGATGTCCAGGCTCCAGGAGGAACCTGAGGTCGGGAGTGGGGGTGGGTGGGGGTGTGGTCTAGAACTCACTCCTCAAAAGCCTCAACAGGTTTTGCAGCGTAGAAGCTATTGTCTGAAAATGAGAGAGAGAAGCCTTTGCAGTGGGGTCAAGGGTAAGCTGGTGGTAGACAATGGGTGTTTGATGGGTCCCATTAGGCTGAGTTACAACCCCAAGGGCGCGTCCCTGTGGCTCAGGCACAAATGGACAAACTGGTTTTCTGTAGTCGGGGCTGCCTGGGCTTCCAGGAGGTTGCCGCGAAACCTTCTTTGGGTTTCAGAAGCGTGTTGGCGTTGGGGCCTCCTGAGCAGAGGGTCTGTCGCTGTGGACTCCCGTCGGTTCATAGACAGGTGTCGTGAGCTCAGAAAAGTTTGGCTTCCATGGTCTGCGGTATCCAGTTGAACCCAGAAATGAACGGTGTTCTGGCAAAGTTGTGATTTTGCTTTTGAAACTATGTCCCTTCTTTGCCAAGGCTAAGAACAAGAAAACAGAATTTTATACATGGGATTCCTCATTCTCTGCACAAAGTAGGAGCTCTGATAGGAATGAATCACAAGAGGGCGCCTGGGTGGCTCAGTTGGTTAGTCCTCAATCGGACTTCTTCGTAGGTCATGATTGAGTCCCTCATCAGGTGAGCTCAAGCCCCACTTTGGGTGAGCTTCAGGCGAACCCCGCTTCTCTCTCTCCCCTTCTCCCTCCCTCTCTGCTGGTCGTGGGATTCTCTCTCTTCCTATCTCTCTTCCTCTTGCTCACTTGAGCCCTCTCTCTCCAGAAAAAAAGAGTCGATCTTTCTCTCTCCCTCGCTCACATGCTCTCTCCCTCTCTCTCTAAAATGAATGAATGAATGAATCTTGCTGCGATAAAAAAAAGAGAAATGAATCACAAGGGAAATTTAGATATTTTTAATTTTTTAAATTCAAAAGCTTATTTTAGAGAGATTGCAAGTGGGGAGAGGGGCAGAGGGGGAGAGAGAGAATCCCAGGCAGGATGGAGCCCGACTCGGGGCTCCATACCATGACCCCTGGGATCATGACACGGGCCAAAATCGAGAGTCGGACACTCAACTGACTGAGCACCTCCCCCCCCCAATTTTTAGAATTCTTAATTGAGGAACTGAGGGGGGGGTCCTTCTGTGACCCTCCCAGGGCATGACTGTGCAGACACACTTGTCCTCGGCCAGTGAAGGAAAGGGGTATTGGCTGTCCCCATGCCGAGGGACTCTGGACAAGGCAGGGCAGAGATCCACCACGACAGTAAAGTGAGTGGCTTCAGGAGGGATGGAGTCAGGATGGTGCCGGGTCGGGCGTTAGTGGTAAGTGAGGGAGAACCATTTTGTTGATGGCCCTGAGGTCTTGAATAAAGATACCCTTTGTGTTTGTTTTTGTTTTGTGGTTTTTTTTTTTTTTTTTTTTTTTTTTTAGTGGCAGTTATGAGGACCAGTCCGGGGTATGGGAAGACCTTTGGGTGCGACTTTCAGTTCTAGGTTTGAATCCCTTTATTTGCCTTCAAGGGACGCTGGGGAAGTTTAGTGACAGTTGGTAGGAACAGTTGGGAATACTCTGAACTTCTATGGGTCCTCCTCCAATTATGTGACTCTTGTTAGTAGAATATCAATGCTATGGAGTGTCAGGTAGTGTCAAGATCCTTGTCTGGGTATGTGTCAAATAAAACGGAGGAAGCAGGGTATACCCTGAGCAGACCGAACTTGACCATAAACAGAGGAGTCCTCTCTGGTCTCAGGACATGGTCCCTCTGGTACGCATTTGATATCACAGTTTCGCCTGCGGAGTAAGTCTCAGCCTGTGACATTCGCAGGGATGGGATCACAGAGCAGGAAGGTGCACTTCTCAGTCGGGCTCAAGGGTTACAGTCAAAGGTTGGTGGGGTGCCTGTGTGGCTTAGTCGGCTAAGTGTCTCTCTTTTTTTTTTAAGTTTTTAAATGTTTAGTTTTGAGATACAGAGACCGCATCAGTGGGGGGCAGGTGCAGAGAGAGAGGGAGACAAAGAAGCGTTTGACTCTTGATCGCGGTTGAGGTCATGATCTTGTGGTTCGTGAGTTCGAGCCCTGCATCGGGCTCTGCGCTGACAGTGTTGAGCCTGCTTGGGATTCTCTCCCCCCGCCCTGCTTGTGTTCTCTGTCTCTCTCAAAATAAATAGGTAAACTTCGGGGGAAAAAAAAAACACAGAAAAGACTGGGAGATTGGGAAAACCAGCGGTTTATTTGAAATACCAACCACCTGTGCAGTGTGTTTACCTGGAGACAGAGACTGGGTGGGGGTGGGGGTGCTGCATGTAGAAAGTGGGCCACGTATTCATCAGGCACCGGTGAGGATGAGCGTCCACACTTACAGTGAATTCGGCTGGAGCGTCGAAGGGCCTCGCAGGATCGTGCGTGACTCTGCCTCCCGCAAGCACTCACTGCCGTGGACCGAGAGCATTTTCTTGGTCTTGGTGTTTTCCTTCCCAGGGTCCCTTCTCTTTACAACACCTGCAAGTGTCCTTGTAGCTGGAGTTGGCTGGGGCGGTGACCAGCTGTCTGTCTGCAGGTCCCCACGTGTACTTTGGGTCTTGGCTCATTTTTGTCCCAGGGTGTTTCTGCCCGAGTGTTCTGTGAGGTGTTGCGGGCCAGCGGAGGGCTTATTTTTCATACCAAGTTCTGCTCTCATCTTCGGTCTCCCATTTCAGTCTTAATTTTCTCCTTGAGAAAAGGAGGCGAAAGGGTTGTCGTAACATCAAACACCTTCTCTGGCGCCCGCGCGGCAGTTAGACGGGCGGGCAGGAAACCGGAAAGAAAGATCTCGATCAAAGCCCGGGTCCCCCGACACAAAACTGTGACAGGAGAGCCTCGTGTGGTGTTAGCGATGGCCTGCAGACAGGTCTGTCGCAGTGGAGGCCAGGTGGGGTGAGGACGACACGCTTGGGGGTCGGTGAGCTGGGCGCACGCGGCAGGCTTCCGGGGCCTCGAATTGTCTCTGTGACAGACAACACTGGACACAGCACCAGACACAGCAAAAGGGATCAAAGGGAATGGCCGGATTGCACCAAGGATGCCAAGCAAATGGGAACCCGTGACAAAACCCGGGCACAGAGACGAGGAGCCGATGGTAAAGAGATTGGGGTGCAGACCAGGCCCAAACTCCCCACGTCGTCAGGGACTGCCCAAGCCTCTAGCACGCAGGCGTGAGGGGCCCCTGGGTACCCCATCTGGTTGGAGGCGGGCGTCCACGTTGTGAGGCAGTCGGCCAGGCTTTGCGGGGCCGCCATGATGAGCTGTGGCCGTGGAGACCAGCCAGATGGGAAAACCGAAGGCCATCCATTCTGAGCTCGCTCTAGCAAGGGAGGCAGGCACCGGCACCCAAGTTTGGGCAGGGGGGCCCGGAGGCAGGCACAGGGGTGGGAGCGGGGGCTCAGGTGTGCCTTGGCATCCCGGGGAAGCCAGAAGCGGGCTGATGAGAGAATCGGACGCGCTGTGGGATTGGTGGGGGGGAGGGCGTGTTTGCATTTCTCTGGTTGGCCCTAGGTTGGAAGTGGGGACAAAAATTAGGGACGGTGTCGATTATTGATCAGGTCCTGGCCATTTGGTGTCAATTGTTGCAGAAGTTCTTATTTAGCACCTTGGATTGTTTCCAGAGTCTGGTATGTAACAGACTGGCTTCTCGGGTGGTTTATTATGGGTAAGGGCTTGGTTTCAGTAGGCTGTGGACCAAAGCTCTATTTAAAACATTTTTTTAAGTTTTTTTTTTTTTTAATTTATTTCTGAGAGAGAGAGACAGCATGAGCAGGGGGAGGGTCAGAGAGAGAGGGAGACACAGAATCCGAAACAGGCTCCAGGCTCTGAGCTGGCTGTCAGCACAGAGCCCGACGCGGGGCTCGAACCCACGAACCGTGAGATCATGACCCGAGCTGAAGTCAGACACTTAACCAACTGAGCCACCCAGGTGCCCCCCAAAGTTCTATTTTTGTTTGTTTTTGAGCAAGAGAGAGAGAGTGTGAACCAGGAGAGAGAGGGAGACCGGATTTGAAGCAGGCAGGATCCACGCTGTCAGTGCAGAACCCGATGTGGGGCTTGAACCCACGAACCGTGAGATCATGACCTAAGCTGAAGTCAGACGCTCAACCGACCGACCCCCCCAGGCGCCCCTGGAGTTCTGTTTTTACGTATGCTCTGCCCGCTGCCTGTCGGCATATTCAGTTTCTCACAGCCCGTGTTAGCCTTTCAGATTCTGCCGTTGCTCCACTGTTGACCAAAGAAGACCGAAGAAGCCCTCCTCACTTGGGGTCTCTCTGTGTCCCTTGTGGGGTTACTAGGTAGAGTGTGATGGTACCTTTTCCTGTCTTCTGTTCCCACTCAGCCTCTCTGGGACCCTCTCTCTGGACAACCTGGTCCCGGGAGCTGTGGAAGCCTGTGCCCAAAGCCAGTAAGAGCCTGCAGGAAGTACCAAGGGAGGGAACTTAACACGGCTGGGGTCTTCTGCATTTTGAAAATATCAGCCCCCTTTTTTCGAGGAAAATAGGCCACAGCAGTTCAGAAGCACAGTGCTCTTTGACATAGGAAATAATTTGTCTTGGGAATTTCATTTCCTTATAACCTGCACATCTCTTAACTGGCAAAGCGTTAGGATCACAAAGGCCAGAAAGAAGCTCCTGAACATTGGTTCTGAGATCCACAGCGCTGGGCAGTGACCGAGGGTAGCCCTGGGCCTCTCAGAACCTTCTGGAAACTGAAGGAGAGGGCAAGGGATCTCTCAATCACTGTGGGCTCCACCTCAGCCATGAAAGCAGATTCTCAGAGTGAGATAGGAACATTTTCCCCAGGGGCGGCCTGTTTCCCACGGAATTAACCTCTTTTTTTAAAATATTTTTATTTATTTCTAGGAGAGAGAGACCGCGTGAGCAGGGGAGGGTCAGAGAGAGAGGGAGACACAGACTCTGAAGTAGGCTCCAGGCTCTGAGCTGGCAGTCAGCACAGAGCCCAAGGCGGGGTCCGAACCCATGAACCGCGAGATCATGACCTAAGCGAAAGTCGGACGCTTAACCGACTAAGCCACCCAGGCGCCCCTCCCACGGAATTAACCTCTTAAATATTTCCACTTCCAGGTCTGTGGTTAGGGATCATTATCTGTGCGATCACGCAGTCCCTGTATTTTCTGGTCTTTGTTGCTGGGCTAAACTGGAAGAAAGCCTCTCAAGAGGTAACTATGTTCATTGCTGGCCAATAAAAGTTCCTCTCCTAGAAAGCAAATCGTCAGCTCCGGCTGCCCCCCTCTCATTTGGAAGGTTCCCCGTTTTATCACCAATGCTACTTTGTAATTTCCACTGCATTTATGTCAGCCGTGGAGGGCCCAGATGACCCTGCATTTATCCATGCCCTTGTTTATTTATCGAACAGAAAAATAGGGGTTCCTTTCCTCCTATCCCAACCCAGGCTACCACCCTAGTGCCTGAAAAGCCAATTTCCGGACAAGATTTGAAACCGGAGGGAAAGGGATGCCAGGCGATTTATCCTGATACTGTTTTTTATGATCCCAAAATATTTCATTAAGATACCTGCACGCATGCTTGTCGCCAGATTGCTAGGGTCAGTGTGGGGGTCTGAAAATAGATGGTAGATAAAATCGATGAAGCACAAAGAAGGGGGGAGTCCTGTGAACTTGGGCCCAGCCTTCCCCCTAACCTTGTGCCTTTCCGTCCATCCTTCCCCCACCCACTGACCCCACGTCTGTCATTCTGGAAGACGATTTCATCCTTGTGAACCAGAGAAGGTCCCCTTCCATGTCAGTTACAGAAAATGGCTTGGTTTTTCCTAAGCTGGAGAGTCAAGTCAAAGGTCTTATTAACACGGTGGTAAATAAAGCCTTGTGGATTTACTTCGCATTTCATTTTCTAGGCTCTGATACATGCCAATGTGACACTACCTGTGGCCCCGGAGGGGACTTCGGCTATCTATCAGAACCAAGGTATGGAATAAACTGCCTCTCTGCTCTTGCAATAGGCCTGCCTAGGTGGTCCTGGAGAGGCCATTTGCTGCCATGAGCTCCCCCTGAACTCAGGAAATAAAGCTTCAGGGACAAATGATAAAATCACGCACACAACACACAGTGTGAGGTACGGTGCAGGTTGCCGGTTATTTAACGGTATTCGCGTAAGCATTCCACGGGGATCTCTGATACTCGGTGATCCTGTGCGTTGACCTTATCGTGGAAACTGACATTAGCATGTCTGGGTCCGTGGGGCTCCCCCGTTCACCAGGCAAAGGTGGGCCTTCAACAGATCACTGTTTAAACCGTTGGTTCTGGTAAGTATCACGCAAACACGTGTATCCCTTTCTCTCTGTCAAATTTGTAGTCTCCCCAGATTCCCAGATCCTTGGACAGTCACGCACTCACACTAGTTCCTCACTTCTTTATAACTTGAGTTCACAGACTGGCTGAATTACAGCCAGCCGCCAATTCCGTTGTTCCTGCAGGTTTTCGTTCATGTTGTCTGGTCCCCCGTGTGCCCAGGTATCTTTGCTTGTGTCCCAGATCTTGTATTGAAAATCGTCCGTAGGGGTAATTTGAGGCCTGCGATGTCTGTCTGTCTCCAGGGAGGATTTTCCTTTGCTTCTGTCAAACACTTAGGGTGACCAGCAGTCTAGGGCAATTTCAGACACTGAGCTTCCTGGAGCACCCAGCTGGCTTGAAGGCCACCAGGGTGAGGCCTGGTGTACTTCCGGTTCATCCTTCATTCTCCTGGGTTCCGGCCTGGAGTCCAGAGTTCTGGCCTTGGTGGGGGACTGAGTTCCCCCCAAAGCATCGCTCAGTCCAGATGGAGAACTCTCAGGTCAAAAGTGGCCCCCCAAAGCTGCCTCACTCTGTTCGGTTTCTTCCAACTCCCCCTAGATCTTTCCCTGCTGACTTTTTGCTACTTTGGTAGTACTCTGATACCTTCAAGATGATACTTCACATTCATTTTATCCGGCTTTCACAATTGTCTTCAGAGACGGTTGGTCCAAGTTTCCTGGCCTCTCCCATTTGTAAAAGCAGGTAAAGCAACTACTTACTTCAGTACCTTCGTGAGAATTAAGTGAGCTTCCAACATGCAAAGCGCCGAGAACAGCGCCTGGCGTGGAGGCAGCATTTTGTAAGAGGGAGCTGGAATCCTCCATTCAAAATTCTTCCCACTCACAACACCAAGGGCAGCAGAACATCCCAATATCCGCTCTGCTCATTAAGAAGTCGGATGCCCATCTTATTCCTGTTTCTTTGGGTCAGCTGCCTTTGCGTGCCTCTGGGGAAGCTTTCAGGATATTTTCCTGAATTCTCACTACGCTGAAGTGTTGGAAGACTGAATCTACATGAGTCACTCTCTCGTGCTGGATGCTCAGTAGGCCCTCGGACGTGAAGAGTCACATCTCTCTTTAGTTCTGTGAATGGCCTTGAATGACCTCCTTCTGAACTGTTTATTAGAGGAAGGTTGGCCCATTGAAAACTTCCCTATGAATCTTTGAGGGTCACTGTATTTATTCCTCTAGTTCTAGGGACGGGCAGAACTCCCTAGTTCTAGGGACGGGCAGAACTCTCTAGAAGACCCAAGCTCACAACAGCAGGACCCAGAGTTTGTGATCGGTGAATGGAGAGACACTCTGAGATAGTATTTCTTTTGTGTGCCCAAGGTAGCAACCGCTTCCCGAATAACCTTTCCCCCGGGCTAGTAACGTATGTGTATGGCATCTTTTGTGCTCATGAAAAAAATATCCTTTTATACTGCTGACTAAGTTCCTTTCTTCCCTTCAGTGGTCCGGGAGAGCCAGAGAAGAGTTGTATTAAACATTCCTGAAAGACGAGACCAGACTCGGTGGGACCCACAGAGGCGCCAAGAACATCATCGTGGGGCCCCTTCCAGGGACGTGACTGAGTTGACTGGGAGACAGCTGATGCTACGACGTGGGCTCCTGCTCATGGGGTTCATTTCAATCTTGCTCATGGGGATTTTCGTGAGACTGTATGTCAGAATTGAGGGATAGGCGAGAGAGAGAGGAGAGAGAGAGAGAATCAGGTCAAGTGACACTTTTGAGTTTACAAATAATGCACAAGTGGTGGGAATTTATTTTCAGTTAAGGTAGCTCGACTGTGCCTGTGGATTTCAAGAATTGAGCGTTCAAGATTATGTTTTCTAATGAAGGAGCTAAGTAAACCTTTATGTTCTAGTGCAAGACTGTCTGAATGAAGGGAGTAGTAATCACTCCTCCACCACTGTCTCAACCCAGGACCACTGTGGACTGATGGCTTTTGTCTGTGACTTTGAGATTTCTTTTGCTTTTGTTTCTTTAGATACGGACGCAGGTACTGAGTGTGTAAAGGACTCTTCTACCATTTGAGTTATTTAAAATATATTTCACAGTGTATAATTTCTTTGTGGCTTTGGATGGTTATTCAGTGGGAAAATGGCATTTGTGAAGATTCATTTGGGGTCCTGCTCTCCGGCACTACGGGCAATGAACGTGCTTGAGAAACCGAAAGAGGAGAAAGATTTAAGGGGAGAGGCGTCAGATGGCATCGAAGAACGGGCTTCCTCTTAAGGACCGGTCTTAAAATCGGTGTCTGGACTGAGAAGGATTGGCAGAAACCAGCAGAGAGGAGGCTGTAGGCCAAGGCTCCACTGAGAACCAACATCTTTTTTTTTTTTTTACTGTTTTATTTCTGAGAGAGAGAGAACGAGCAGGGGAGGGTCAGAGAGAGAGGGAGACCCAGAATCAGAAACAGGCTCTAGGCTCTGAGCTGTCAGCACAGAGCCCGACACGGGGCTCAAACCCACGAACCGTGAGATCACGACCTGAGCAGAAGTCAGGCTTAACTGACTGAGCCACCCAGGCACCCCTAGCATCTCATTTTTCTTGAGGCGGACATCCCACGGAGAGAAATAAAGGGCTTGAAGAGCCAATCCGGGCAAACTGGAAGAAGTCAGACCTTTTCCGATTTTTTAATTTTTTTAATGTTTTCTTATTCTATTTTTTTCTATTTTTATTTATTTCTAGGAGAGAGAGAGACAGACAGCGTGAGCAGGGGAGGGTCAGAGAGAGAGGGAGATACAGACTCTGAAACAGGCTCCAGGCTCTGAGCTGGCAGCACAGAGCCCGACGCGGGGCTCGAACCCAAGAACCGCGAGATCATGACCTAAGCGAAAGTCGGACACTTAACCGACTAAGCCACCCAGGCGCCCCAGACCTTTTCCGATTTTGATTGAAGGAGGGGATTAAAGAGTTGCAAAGCAGCAGAAATGGAAAGAGGGGCTAGGATGGGGGGGGTCCTGGGCCGGCCCCCATTCATCTTCTGCTTGGGTCTTTGCCTTTATGGAGGCACCAGCTTTAGGTGGCAGACATGGTACATCCATGGAGATTTTTGTTGTGTGTGCTTTTTTGTGTCAAAGGGATGAGATTTTGGTGAATGCCCCCTTCTGCGGCGTCGGAGAATAAGTGGGGAAGTCTTCGAGCTGTGAAAGTCCAAACAACCCTTGCTAATTCCTGGGGAGGCGTGCGTGCGTGCGTGCGTGAGTGAGTGTGAGAAGATTTCAACAGCGGCCTTGGATAACTGCTTGGACTCGGCCTTCCTGGGGGGAGGGCGACAGGTTAACCCGGCAAGCCTCAGTATTAAGAACGCTGAGTACTTGGATGGATACAATGAGCTAGGCACTGCCCTTTGCCCTGAAAGAACAGATAATGGACAAAAATCACAGAAGTTAGCAACCATTGAATTTAAAAAACACCCAACACAGCCTTAAGGTATCTCCACCCTCCTTTATTCTTCTAGGAGAGTCCCTTTGCAGGGACCAAGATAAAGGCCCGCCCCGAGGGATGGGCCCCCAGCAACATCACCTCTCCCTGCTTTTGTGTGAGGAAGCCCCCACGCACCCTATTCATTCTCTCCCCTATGGATTTCCCTCCGGGATACCCTGGCCTTCTAGAGAGTTCTCTCCCTGCCTGCCCTTCCTGTCCCCAGGTAGGAGCCCCCCGGATGGGATGCTGAGGCTTCTCTCACCAGCCCAAACTGCAGGCGAGGAGCGCATCCCTGGGGAAGTAAATTCTTTGACACACCCGTCACCGAGGCCGGAGGAAGAGGGACTCCGGCTGAAAAGGCAGCGCAGTGCTCTCGGCGTGCGGCGGGGGGAATGACGCAGTCGCCCTCCCCACCCCCGCCTCAGCACATTCCACCCCTCCGACCTGCAGTCTCCCTCGTCGGCGCACAGCGCCCCCGACCCCGTCCTGGCCCCCGCGACCCCCCCTCCCGCGGGGGTCTCCGCGCCCCTCCCCCAGCCCCCCCCCCGGGGATGTGCGGGCGGCGACGGTTGGCCGGGAGGTCTTGCGTCCCGGGGTGCCGCCCTCCCGCTTCCCCCTCCCCGCCCCCACCCCCGGCCGCGTGCGCAGGTGGGGGCGGGACGCGGGCGCGCGGGGCGGGGCCGTGCGGGGGCCTCCCCCAGCCCGCCGCCTCACGCGCCGCAGTCCCCGCGCCGGCATGGAGCCCCCCGCAGCAGCCGCCGTGGCCGCCGCGTCCCTGGAGAGCGCCGGGCCGCCCGACGCCGCTCGCTGGCGCCGCTGCCTGCGGAGCCTGCGGGGCGCGCTGCCGCCCGACGTGCGGCGGGAGGCGGCCGCGCTGGCGGTGCTAGCGGGCTCCGTGGTGAGTGCGCGGCCCCGCGCGCCCCGACGGCCGCCCGGCTCGGGGCGCCCCCCAGCGCCTCCTCGCTGCGCTCCCCGAGCGGGCGGGCTGGGGGTCAGCGCGTGTTCTCCCTCCTTCTCCCCCTCGCAGTTCCTGGCGCAGTTGATGATTTTCCTGATCAGCGTCGTCAGTTCCATCTTCTGTGGGCATCTGGGCAAAGTCGAGCTGGATGCCGTTACGCTCGCGGTGTCGGTAGGTTTTCCATTTAAAACATTTTCTATCTGGGTCGGCACCGTGGTGAAGCCTCGGAATTCGCATTGTGTTATGGCTGAGGTCTTCCCGTACACGGGCAGAGCTTGACCCACGGGTACTTTTGGCCTTATTTTTAGATTTGGAAGGAGATCGCGTAAACACCTCGAGAAGTGTGTTTCAACCATCCCGGGGTGGCCGGGCTTGCCAGCAATTTGTAGCAATGATTTAATTACAGAGCGGCCAGGATGGCGAGGAATTTGTAGCAATAATGTAACATGTGCTGGTCACAGGGACGGAACCGCATTTTTTTCTGTTCTAAAATTAAACCAAAGAATTTAGAGATCGTATACATTGTTTGCCATCAGTTTGATTTGCGCAACTCGTTATGGGCGCAGTGTTTCCCTCTTGGAATAAAGTGTCTCTCTTGGGCCATGGATTGAAATTACACCTCCTTTGAAAGCTTTCGTCCCTGAGATTTTGTTAGTGATGTGGAGGAAAGTGCCTCCCTCTGTGTTTGGTCCAGGCTTTCAGAGAAGGTGAAAAACAGTTCCCGCGGTGCTGGCAGGTGCTGTCTCCCAGCCTTAGAAAATTCCACCTTCGTCCCAGCCTTAGAAAATTCCCCCTCCGTCCCCACCAGAGGTCGGTATCTGCCCTAAGATCGCGGCAGATCCGGCAGAAGTTCTATTTACAGGTCTGTTAACTGAGTGCGCTAATTCAGGCTAAGGGATACTTCTGCTTCCTTTGAGAATTTAGGTTGGGCCTCTAGAAAGAATGAAGGAAACAGAAGCTTTACCTATAGGTTGTTAACTGTGTCCCCTCCAGAAAGGATGAACTTGATCCCTCCGCCACATAGGGCACTGTTGCCCAGACACACGTACCCTGATCATTCTATCTGTTGTGAAGGGGCATTAATAGTGGGTGTCTTTGTCTTAAAATTTAAAAAAATAATAAATTTATTTATGCACTTATTTATTTTAAATGTTTTGTTTATTTTTGAGAGAGAGGAGGGGACAGAGGATCTGAAGCGGGCTCCGCTCTAACAGCAGCAAGCCCATGTGGGACTTGAACTCACCACCTGTGAGACAATCATGATCATGAAGTCAGATGCCCAACTGCCTCAGCCACCAGGCTCCCCCTTAAAAAAATTTGTTTTCGGGGCGCCTGGGTGGCTTAGTCGGTTCGCTTAGGTCATGATCTCGAGGTTCGTGGGTTCGAGCCCCACGTCGGGCTCTGTGCTGACTGCCAGCTCAGAGCCTGGAGCCTGTTTGAGTCTGTGACTCCCTCTCTCTCTGACCCTCCCCTGCTCACGCTGTCTCTCTCTCTCTCTCTCTCTCTCTCCTAGAAATAAATTTTTAAAAAATTAAAAAAAATTTTTTTTTTAAAAATTTGTTTTCATTCTTTGAGGTATAATTGACATACAACATTTAGTTGATTCCAGGTGTATAATGTAATGATGCAGTATTTGTATATATTGTGCAATGATCATTATGATGAATCTAGTTAAAATCTTACCGCTATACACAGATTTTTTTCCTCCGTGTGATAAAATTTTGTAGGATTCACTCTTAGCAAGTTTCAAGTGCAAAATATAGTATTATTAACTATAGTCACCATGGTATACATTGCATTTTCACACTCTGAATATTTTGTAACCGGAACTTTGTATCTTTTAATGGCCTTTACCCAGATCCTCTGCACCCCAACCTCCTCCCCCCTCCCCGTCCTTGGCAGTCACCAAGGGATTCTCTCTCTGTGAGTTCAGTATTTCTTTGTTTGGATTCCACATGTAAGTGAGATTATATGGCATTTGTCACTCTGACTTATTTTACTTAATAATGCCCCCAGTGTCCATCTACATTATCATCAATGGCAAGATTTCCTTCTTATTTATTTATTTATAATTTATTTTTGAGAGTCATAGCGCAAGCAGGGGAGGGTCAGAGAGAGAGGGAGATACAGAATCTGAAGACAGGCTCCGGGCTCTGAGCTAGCTGTCAGCACAGAGCCCGACTTGAGGCTCGAACCCGTGAACCGTGAGGTCATGACCTGAGCCAAAGTTGGACGCCTAACTGACTGAGCCACCCGGGCACCCGGATTTCCTTCTCTTTTAGGACTGAGTAAAATTCAGTGTGTGCGGCACATTTTATTTACCTGTGCGTCCATCAGTGGACACTAGGTTGTTTCCATATCTTGGCTATTACGAATAATACAGTGCACATGGGGGTGCAGATAGCTTTATGGATTGGTGTTTTTGTTAAATACACAGAAGTGGGCTTGTTGGATCATACAGAGGTTCTATTTTTAGGTTTTTGAGGAGACTTCATACCATTTTTCATGGCTGCACCAGTTTGCATTCCATCCAGTAGTGCACATGGACTCCCTTTTCTCCGCCTCTCCTCCAAACACTTATTTCCCCGTCACAAACTCTCACAGGTGTTAGTTCTTGATGGTTTTAATTTTCATTTCCCTGATAATTAGTGAGGTGGAGCGCCTTTTCCAGTATCCGTTGGCCATTGGTGCATCTCCTTTGGAAAAACACCTATTCAGATCCTCGGCCCAGTTTTTAATTAGATTCTTTGGGGTTCTTTTGCTCGTGAGTTGTATGTGTTCTTTATATATTGTGGAGGTAAACCCCTTATCAGATACATGATTTGCGAATATCTTCTTCCCGGTCTGTAGCTTGGCTTTGCATTTGGTTGGTGGTTTCCTTCCCGGTGCAGATGCTTTTTAGTTTGGTGTGGTCCCACTTGCTTATTTTTGCTTTTGTTGCCTTTGTTGACTGGTGTCAAAATCAAAGAGTCCTCGCCAAGACCAAGAGAGCTTACTGCCTGTGGTTTTTTTCTAGGCGTTTTATGGCTCCAGGTCTTGTGTTTAGGTCTTGAATCCAGTTTGAGTTATTTTTTGGGTATGGTGTAAGGCAGTGGTCCGGTTGCACGCTTCGGCCCGTGGCTGTCCAGTACGCCCACCACCCTACGTTATTGCCCGTTTCCGGACTGTACCTTCGGGTTTACCATCCTGCACTGTTCCATGCCCATGATACCTCTTCTGTGTTCATCAGACACCCCAGCGCCTGCGCGCTCATCAGCTCCTAGGGTGTGGGGGCCCCACCTCCCTCCATCTCTCTGGCTTTCCGGGACCCCCCAGATCCACTTCAGGACTCACAGTCTGCACATTTCCATCCCTCCGCAAGGACCCACTGTAGCAGCTTTAAACTTGATGGCTCTGCTGGCAGCCTTTCATCCCTGGGGTCCCGTCGAGTCGATATGCCGATGGTGACAGCCCTCCGTGGGAGCACCCTGGACACTCCCCTCTGTGTACACCCCACGCCTCCATCAGTCAGCAAGCGCTGACTTTATTCTCCAGGTTTCTTAAAATCACACCTTTTCTTCTGTTTCCTGCTGTCGCTCTCCGGGCCCAGCCTTCATCCTTCCTGCCAGCCCTGGGACTGCATCTCGTTCCCCTCCCCCTGCCTTCTCCCCTCCTCCTTCTCCCCCTCCACTCCCAGCCATGAAAATATCGTGCTACTCCCTGGCTTAACGGCCTTCAGGGCTCCCCTCACCTGACCACAAAGTCCAGGCCTCCGGGCGTCCTGCCTGTGGGTACCCAGTGCATTCTATGTCTTGCATGTCAGCCTCAGGCGGATCCTTCTAGACGCGGCTCTGGGGCATGCATCTGCAGAACCCTTTCCCAGAAGCCCCTCCTGGAACCCCCCCCCTTCCCGTGCTGTGCCACACTCTCTGTCCCTGATGCTCTCGCGCTGACCAGCCAGCTCCTATTAATTTTTGCCAAGCCTGGTTCCTGGCACAGATCTGTCCCGGGTGGCTGTTTCCAGGAAATGCATAGCTCAGGGCAGCTGTGAGCGGGTCCTCAAGGAGGCGCCTCCTGAATTCGTCTCCTACGCGGCCCTGCTCCTTTGTGCTTTCCATCCCGTAACATGGTGAGGGTTGCAGGCGCTGTAATGATACACGGGAAGGTCCCATGTCCCCTTTCACTATTTCAGCAAAGCTATTTTAACCAGGGGTGGCTGGGTGGCTCAGTCTGTTGAGCACTCAACTTCAGCTCAGTTCATAATCTCATGATTCGTGAGTTCAAATCCTACACCAGTCTCTCTGCTGTCAGTGCAGAGCCCACTTCGGATCTTCTGCCCCCTCAAAAATAAATATACATTTAAAAAAAAAGGATTAGGGGCTCCTGGGTGGCTCAGTCAGTTGAACATCTGACTTTGGCTCAGGTCATGATCTCGCAGTTCGTGGGTTCGAGCCCCGGGTCGGGTTCTGTGCTGATAGCTCGGGGCCTGGAGCCTGCTTCGGATTCTGTGTCTCCTCCCTCTCTCTGCCCCTCCCCTGCTTGTGCTCACTCGCTCTCAAAGATAAATAAATATTTAAAAAAAAAAAAAAGCTATCTTAACTGTACCTTGGGGAGAGAAAATGAAATTAAGATTTTATGGAAGGTTTGTGGTTAATTTTTTCCTTCATTCTCTGTTTTTCCCCCAAATCACCCAACGATAAGAGCATGAAAAATAATTCCTACTTTCTGAAGTAGAAATTGGTACGGAGTAAATACAAACCCCAAATCTTGTAGATCGGCCTGAAGAGGGTATGTGGGAAGGTTGGTACGTTCCAAAGAGGAATTTCTGTAGCTAAGGTTTTAGGCAAGGGGGTCTATGTCTGTCTTTCCTTGGGCAGCGGGTGATAAGGCTGTGCTTTTAAGCAGCTGTTAAATTGTAACTAATTGCTAAGTAGACAGTGGGCCCAATTTCAAGAAAACTGTTTATGAAAGCCAGATACAGTTAATGTTTCACTTTATGAAAAATTCTATATGTGGAATGAGGGGATTTACAAAAGTGTTCTTTAAGTAAAAGAGCAGTTTTAAGCTTTTAGTTCACTATTACTTTTTATTTTTTTATTTTTATTTTTTTTAAATGTTTTATTTATTTCTAGGAGAGAGAGAGAGAGACAGCGTGAGCAGGGGAGGGTCAGAGAGAGAGGGAGACACAGACTTTGAAACAGGCTCCAGGCTCTGAGCTGGCAGTCAGCACAGAGCCCGACGCGGGGCTCGAACCCACGAACCGCGAGATCATGACCTAAGTGAACGTCGGACGCTTAACCGACTAAGCCACCCAGGCACCCCTAGTTCACTATTACTTTTTAACATTTATTTTTGAGAGAGCGCTCGTGCGCACGCGTGAGTGGGGGAAGGGCAGAGAGAGGGGGATGACAGAAGATCTGAAGCAGGCTCTACGTTGACAGCAGAGAACCCGATTCGGGGATGGAACTCCGGGAACTTGAGATCACGCCCTGAGCAGAAGTCGGATGCTGAACCGAATGAGCCACCCATGTGCCCCTGCGGTGTTATTAATCTTTTACTCCCAACATGGAACTCGAACTTGCCACCCTGAAACCAAGAATCACACGCTCTGCCAACTGAGCCAGCCAGATGCCCCTCCCCTCCCATGAACGTTTATTTATACCCCACCTTGTTTTGTTGCATGCAGAATTTGAGTTGGTTTGTAAAAATACTTTCAGTACAAAAGGGTAAATAATTAGCTGGTAGAATAGGATCAAAGAAACCCAGAGAGGAAGACTCAGCTGGGAGTGGCTAGCACCACAGGGGCTGAAGATTGCGTCCTGAACTCCTTCCTGCCCTAGTTGTTTCCAGAAATTCAAGCGCCCCCAAGATGTTACTGAGCCATCTGCCTGGCGGAAGGATGGCCTTTCCTGATACTGAGTCAGAGGTGCGTCCCCCGTAGCGATTCGTGGCGCGGACACTGAGTTGGAAGATGGTGTCCTGGACAGCTTGCTACGAGAGAGACATAAGGGACTCTCGAACCGTCTCAGCGTACAGGTGGTCATTGTGTGGGGAAAGCCTGACGCCCTTGACCTGAACCAGAGGAGTCTCTGACAGTGGACTTGACCTGGAGATAGACCTGAAGCCACGGGAGAGTAACAGCTGTGCTTCCGAACTTTCTTTCCCTGGAAGGCCGAGGGGTTTTTGGAGCTTTGGCCCTGATGATGCCCCGGGCCGGAGTTGGGAACACAAGGTGCCTTGGTGTGGGCGCCTCCCGCTGCTGCCCCTCTGTGTGGCTTGTCGCTGACTCCTGGGGATAGAGTTTGTGATCGTGGTCAGGCAGGAAGTGAACCCGACATCACTGCTAAATGTGAGACCAGGGATGAAAATGAGGGCCCCAGCTCTCCCCAGCGCCCACAATTGCAAAACGGCTCCTTGGGCTCTGACCCTGACCCTCACTGTCAGGGGCCCTGGGTGAGGTGCAGATACGAGGGTGGGACAAAACTCCTGTTTCTCATCACAGACTTCCCAGCCTCAGGTCACCATCTGAGTGACCTACGCATTCTGGGACTTGCTCCAGTGACCCGTAAAATGGGCACAGTGCTCATTGACACCGTGTATGGGAGGGTTTGGGGACAGGGCGTGCATGTAGCATATGCTCGGTACGTATTTGCTGTCCTCGTTTTTAAATGTACATCACACACCAGGGGCGTTGCCTTTAGATATTAACCACAACTTAACTTTTTGATGTAGAAATCGTAACGCTGTGTTAAGAAGAACTGGGTTGTAAGCCACCGTGGTTGACCCTCTGGTCAGAGGCTGTGTTTACAGTCGACAAGGATGGATGTGGACTCCCATTTGCTGTGAAATGGAAGGTGTACCATCCCAGGTGGCTTCTTGCAGATAAGCTGTCGCGGCTCCTTGGCTCAGAGGGGGCCCTTTGGCAGCGACTCTGCCCGGCCATCCTCCGGTGCTTGCTTGCAGCTGTGGGTCGTTCCTTGCAGGTGGTGAACGTTATTGGGATTTCAGTTGGAACTGGCTTGGCCTCCGCTTGCGACACGCTGATGTCTCAGGTGAGGATTACCCTCCCCCGCACTTGTTTTTTTTTTGGGGGGGGGGCAATTACCTTTCCTGTTGGAGAGTTCTCCCCACTATGGCTTTTGTAGCCTTTTTATTTGTCCATCACCACGCTGCTGATGGCTGAAGCCGAGTTGGCTTTCTTACTGTCCTCAGGGGCTGTGTTTTCCTTTTTATCTCCTGTCTGATTTCTCCCACCCTAACACCCTCACCTGCTGTTGAAGACTCAACAGCTCCATCTCCTGCCCATGTCTCTGTCCTGAGGGCCAGACTTGAATGTCGGTCACGTCCCGGACATCAGACTCAGCTCAACCGGAGCCAAGTCCATCAGGCTTTCCTCCCTGAACTGTTCTCCTCTCGGCTTGTCTCTCACAAGAATACACCACCCTCCGCTCTAGCCAGAATCCTTCTTTACCTTCCATCTCCTTATGTTAGCGGAGCATCTGCTCACATGCCTCCATCCTCATTGCCTATCACGGGATTGGGAACTCTGGGTCGGTGTGCTAACGTTTTCAGAGGAGAGTCAGATTCTGGCAGGCCTCTCTTTCCTGACTCTGTTTTCCATCTAACCCACCTGCTTTACAAACAAAGTGGTTTCCCTGGTAGAATTTGAGCTGCTGGGGGAGAGAGGCATACCATTCAGTCTTTCAATCCCTTTGGCTCAGCATCATGCTTGGTGTGTAGTGGGTACCCTGAAAACCTGTTGAATGAGTGAGAGGAAAGCAGAGAAGCAAGCAGGGATGGGTAAATGGGTGGATGGTTGGTAGGGTAGATGGGTGATGGATAGGTGGATGGGTGGTTGGAGGGATGGATGGATGGATAGATGGTTGGACAGATGGATGACGGGTGGGTGGGTGGCTAGCAGGATGGATGGTTGGATAGAAGGTTGGGTGGATGGATGAATGGATAGATGGACAATGGATAGATGGATGGGTGGGTGGATGGTGGATGGATGGTTGGATAGATGGAAGATGGACAAGGGTGGGTAGAAGGATGGATAGATGGATGGTTGGATAGAAGGTTGGGTGGATGGTGGATAGATAGAAGGATGGACAAGTAAGTGGGTGGAGGGGTGGATGGTGGATAGATGAGTGGATAGATGGATGATGGATAGATGGGTAGATGGACGTGTGATAGGTGAGTCCTGCCTTCAAATGCAGTGCTTGGGAGGGTGAGGACAGGGTTATGTCCCAAGAAAGCAGTGGCCCTGAGAATATGTGATATATCCTGAGTTGTTGCATTCAGTTTCTCAGCAGTTGGTACATGAGGGTATCCTGAGATGGTTTTTCCAGGCTGAGCTAAATGTGGCACTAAAGGACTTACTATAATGTAGCTCTGGATTGGCCTGGTAGAGGATATGAAATACTGTTTTAAAAGCTATTTTGTCCCTTTTTTGTTACCATTTATTTGTATTCGTATAGTTAAAAAAAACAAGAAAGATTGTATCTTTTTTTCCCACCTATCAGTATACAGTGGGATATCTTTGTGTATTACTAAATGTATTTCCATCATAACACGTGGTTTCTTGATTTTTAGTATATGTGCTGCCGAAGCGAGCACGGTTTCTTGATTTTTAAATAACGTTTTAAAAACGTTGTAAAGGTCAAGCAACATATATAAACTTTAGGTTATCTAGAAGAGTATTTGAAAAAGATGGGGGGGAAAATCACTCAAATTTAACCCTTCTGAGTTATCTTTATTAGCTTTTTGGTGAATATCCTCCAGATATTTCCAAATACGTACATTTACACCATTCTCAAGTCTACATGGTCTTACTACTTTTTCCTCCCATTAAACCATGTGTTTTGGAGAACACATTGAATGATGTAGGTAGACACATTCCCTTTTAATATTTGCTCAGTATTCTCTGTCCTTTTTATTGCCATTGGTTTTAATTTCTTTCCACTGACTCTTTGAATGCACTTTAAGTTAGACTCCATTTTGGTTGTGAGAGACAGTCACTCGGGTACTTGGAGGAAAGGGAGCGTGGGAAAAGCTTTGTGAGGCCTCGGCTCTGCCAAGGTCACTGGGGGGATGGGGCCTGCCCTGCCCTCCCGTGGTCCGCTCTCCCGCTCTGTGCTCTGGCCACCTGGCCGCCACTCACTTCTGCCTTTTGTACCCTTGTCACACTTCACCATCAGCAGGTTATGTCGTTTCTCTGCTCGGAACTCTCCCGTGACCCGTCTCACTGTGGAGGCCGCTGGGCCCACTGCTGTCCCCACCCCTACCCGGGTTCAAGCGCAAACCCCCCCCCCAATCCCCTTCCCGGGGTGGCCTCCCATCGGCACTCTGTTCCCCTTCCCCGATGTCTTTTTCTCCAAGCATCTCTGCCATTCTAGAGAATGCCCTCTAGATCTTGTTATTTCTGTTTATCGTCTGTCTCCCTTTCCTTCTAGAAAGTCAGCTCCATGATGGCAGGGACTTCTGCCTGCTTTGTTCACTGCTGAGGTAGTTCCCGGGTCTCAAGAAATACTGAGTTCAAGAAATACTTGCTGAATGAATTTGGCAGGTTCTATCTAACCTGTGCCCACCTCTGCGTCCACCTTTTAAGCCCTGCTCTCTGCCGTCAGGGCCCTCCGTGTCTAACTGTCCCTGTTCCCAGAGGCAGGGGACTCATCGTCCCGGCACATGTGTAAAATGCCGTTGGTGCCCTTGGCTCTGGTGCTGGCGTCGGGAACCGATGGCGGGAGACGCCGGCTGGCCGCTGTGGGGGGCCCGCGGGCGCTCTCCCTCGGGGAGCTGTTTGTGATGCCGGCGGCCCAGGCTGTGGCCTGCCTGGTACACAGTGGCACTCTGTATCGCCGCGTTTGTTTTCTCTAGTCCTTCGGCGGCAAGAACCTAAAACGCGTGGGGATCATACTTCAGAGAGGAATCCTTATCCTGATGCTGTGCTGCTTTCCTTGCTGGGCCGTCTTCATCAACACGGAGCGCATCCTCCTGCTGTTGAAACAAGACCCCGAAGTCTCCAGGTCAGCGGCATCTGTAATGGGAGAACCCCAGGTCCAGCGTAAATGGCCGTCTGCTCGTCTTAACTGGCGTTGGCATTTCCGGCCAGTTACCTGGACTTGAACCCCCGTGGAGAATGGCAGCTGTGACCTGTGGATCACAGGGCATTAAGGCTGGCAGGGAGGACCTGACACAGAGGGACGCAGTAGCCTGACATCCTGCCCAGGGCGAAAAGATAGAGGACAAGAATGTTCACACCCCTGGCCCCAGCCTGCTTTCCCCATGTTTTGCAAACGCACAGAGGAAACCAGCAAGCTCTCTGGGATCGTGTTCGGGGTGTGCGGGATCGAGGGAGGCGAGGAGGCATCTCTCCTTTCTAGAACACTGTTCATCTTGCTTCGGGGCGAGATACGGCTGCAGTCCTGACCCAAAACATTTTCTGAACTTTGCCCAACTTTTAGTTCATTTTGCTCGGCTCATTCCACCCTTTTTCCTGCTAAGCATGAGCGGAAAGATGTGAAGTCAGACTTTCTGTAGAAAGCAGACACGTAGCAACTGTAATGTTCATCTGGGTTGTAGAAAAAGCCTCCTCAAAGTTGTATTAAATGTCTCCCGCGTAAATTACATTTAGTTTTAATTTTTAGGAGATGCTGACTGTATGCGTTCAATTTGAAGAAGTACGGGCGGCAGTTGTTTGAATGATAACTGAAGGCTGTTTGTCTGTTTCAGGATAGCCCAGATTTATGTGATGATTTTCATTCCTGCTCTTCCTGTAAGTATCGAGGCTATTCTGTGCCCCGTTTCGTGAAGGAGCTCGTGAATATCGCCATGCCTGTGCCTCCCCTCCTTTTGATTATTTTACCATAGTCCCGTTCCCGGGTGAGTTGAGCACGTATCTCTTGGACCTGTCATCCTGTTACTGCTTCTCAGAGCTTGTACCGCTTTGACATCCAGCAGCTTAAATGTAATACAGACACCGATGAGGGGAAGAGCTTCTGTCCTTATTCTGTGGGGGCTTTTGATTGCAAATTAATTAGGATGTTTCCTTTGGGGCCCCTCTGGGATGGGGGGAAAAGTACCACCAGCTTTCGCCTTGGGAGCCGTTCAGATGTCAGGGTAGTGAGCAGTTTCCGATTCAGCCAGTAGAGGTCTGAGACTCCTCTCTGGAAAATTCCAAGCAGCTTCCTAGCGTTTGATCCGCGTGGGTCTGGGTCTCCGGTTTTGAGGTCGCATCAAGAGGAAATACCTTCTTGGAAACCAGACCGTCGGAATCCCGCTTTGATGGTAACGGGAGGCTTTTTTCTATTTTCTCTCACAGGCAGCGTTCCTCTTCCAGCTGCAGACAAGATACTTACAGTGTCAGGTGCAGAGCCTTTGCATTTTTTACTCCGTGGGCCCTGGGAATGTGGGGTGAATATTCTTAGGGAGCTTTCCACGAAACTTAGTCACAGTTTTTTCCCCGGAATTTTACCCAGAGCTCATTTGGCAGACATGAGGTCTTGTACGCGGATTTTGTCCAGCTCAGGAGAGAAGCCCGCCTCAGCCTGTCAGATTGCTGCGCGCCCCCCCCCCATTTTACTTTGCACAATTCCCCCCCCCCCACAGCACCCCTTCCCTCTTCTGTGGGCTGCCTGCTGGCTTTGGGTCTGGCCTCAGGCCCGGCTCTGGTGCCTGTGCTTTAGAGAAGGCCCCAGAGTTCCTGGGGCCACATCCGCAGAAGTGCATGGGGTTTACGGCGTCCCCAGGAACCAGAGGGACGGGGGACGCGGTGGAGAAGGCTGAGGGCAGAGCTGAGGGCTGAGCTCTGCCTCACTGTGTCCCCTCCCCAAGTCCCTCTTTCGTGAGCCGCCCGCTTCCCTTCGTGTAACTTTGTCCGTGGAAGCTGCTCTGCTTTGATGGTGGCCAACTCTTTTAAAAAAAAATGTAGGCTCGGGGCGCCTGGGTGGCTTAGTCGGTTAAGCATCCGAGTTTCGCTTAGGTCATGATCTCGCGGTTCGTGGGTTCGAGCCCCGCGTCGGGCTCTGTGCTGACTGCCAGCTCAGAGCCTGGAGCCTTTTTCAGAGTCTGTGTCTCCCTCTCTCTCTGACCCTCCCCTGCTCACGCTGCCTCTCTCTCTCTCCTAGAAATAAATGAAAAAATATTTTTTTAAAAAATGTAGGTTGTTTTTTTTTTTTTTTTTACCTTGAGAGAGAGAGTGTGAGCTGGAGAGGGGCAGAGATGGAGAGGGAGAGGGAAAGAGAGAATCCCAAGTAGGCTCCATGCTGTCAGTGCAGAGCCCAGCATGGGGCTCGATCTCATGACCCCAGGATCATTGACCTGAGCCAAAATCAAGAGTCAGACGCTCAACAGACCAAACCCCTGGGGTGCCCCAAATGTAGACTCTTCAAGAAAATGTTTATCTGAGGACAAGCGTAGAGTAGGCGACAGACACACACCAGGTGAGGAGCTACGGCCCCATAAACATGGGGGTGAACATTCACTGCACACCTACTAGGGACAAAGCGCTGCTGGTGCTTCGTGTGAGGTGACGTCCTGAACCCTCAGCTCCGCCCGCACAGAAGTACAGTAATTCGGCCCGCGTGTCTCCCACGTGGTCTTCCGGGACACCTCGTGCCACGAACCAATGTGCTGTCCGGGTCCCTTCTCTTTGTTGTTACTGTGATGGAAACGGTGGCCCAGCGGGTCGTTCAGAAGCGTTTAGAAACATCTGATGGTCGGGCTCGCAGCGGCCCTAGTGGGGAAGACACGGCCGTGGCTTTGACCCTGGCATTGGCGTCCTCTGACCGTGCTGTCATTCACAGCCATTGCCTGTTTAGGAAACCTCACTCTCCCTCCCGCCAGAGTCTTCTTGCTCTCACTTGACCACCACATTCTCCGTCCGCCAGAGGTGTGGAAGCATCCACACGTCCTCGCGGTCCCCAGCCTGGGGGCTGTCCAAACCCGGCGCTTCTGGGATTTTGGGGGAGGCTCCCTCACTAGGCAGGACTGATCGCTGCCTCTATTCCCAGCCCCTCTCCCCTCCCCCGAATATGAGAGATGGGCTGAAAATGTCAAGCATCTAACAACCATGGCTTCGTTGTTCTGGTGACCAGCTCCCATCCAGGAGCCCCCCCAGCGTCATTAGGACGAAAGGCATCCTTGCACCCAAGAAATTCCAAAGGATTGAGGAACTCTGTCAAGAACCCAGGTTGGAGACCAAATATTAGAACAACCACTGAGAAGTTACAGGCGCGTTAGGAGCTCTGTTCTGGGAAGGGGGGGCGGGGTGGGGGCAGAGACCAATGTATCTGTTCTCTATTACGTCACACCGTGTAACTGATCGGCTTTTGCAAATGCTGCTTGTTTTCCTGTTTGGGGATTTTAGGGCATCATCATGCCTCAGGTGATCACTGGGATTGCAGTGAACATAATCAATGTGGGCATGAATGCTCTCCTGCTCTATGCCCTGGACCTCGGAGTGGTGTAAGTCATGACCTGTTCCCTCCGCAAATCCGAGTGTCTGCTGGATGCGGCCCGGGGGCTGGGACGTGGGTGGGTGAAGCGGCCGGGAGGGGGGTGGGTGCCGGTGTTCTGGAGCACCCGCAGCCCAGGCTGCTGGGGGAAGAGCGGAGCTTAGCTGGGGGAGGACTTCATGGAAGAAGTAATGTGTGCTGACTTGCATGTCGGGGTGGAGTGAGTGCGAGAGAGTCGCTCTAGCCCATGAAGACTGAGGTGCACGACCTGAGCAATGGCTGGAGGGGCAGAGGGCTGTAGGGATCGCCCACCAGCTCTCAGTTGTAAGAAATCAAGCTAGTTCCAGCTGTCTGAAGCCGGGGAGTGTGAGGGTCCCACGTAGGAGGCAGCGTCAGTTTGGACCTCCCGCCAGTAGGCACCAGGCTGTCCGTCCATCACTGACTCGAACCACCTGGTGTGCTGGTCCAGATTGTCCGTCCATCACTGACTCGAACCACCTGGTGTGCTGGTCCAGATCCAGCCCCCTTCATATGGGCTGACATGGTCACACCAGCGCTCCAGACGTATTATGAATGAAATGAAATAAAATGAGATAGAATTGAATGGAAAATAAGGTATGGAGATACTTTCATGAGACTCTGTGTGTATGCATATATGTTACATACATAAATATATAAAAGCCATTAAATGGTGGATAGTAGAGGTGGAGTACAAGAATAATCAATGAAAAAAGGTTTGTAACATCTTCTGCCAGAAAATTGAAAGAGGCTTTGACCGTGGGGGGAGGTACGGGTCAGCAGGCAGGTCTGAGAGCTGGTAACGTCAGCTCACATGAACACCTGAGTGGCATCCGGGTTTGTCGGGCTTTCCTCTGCACGTGCACCTTACAGATCATCTCGTAGAAGTTTCTTGAACAGGGGTATGAAGGACAGTTTGGGGATAGTTGGGAAAGAGGAGAGGAACACACAGGAATGGATTAATAAGTGATAACAATGTGAGGATTGGTCAGAAGAGTAAAGTGAAAACATAGAAAGCAAGCAGAGTTTAGGCTCACTGTGCCAGAACAGGGCTTCATGTAATTGGTGGTGATAAAATATCATCTTTTGAAGATGCTCTAAGGTTGTCTTGTAATAGAAAACAAGTTTATTATAATCCTGGGAAATAAAACAACTGTAAACCTTAGACCAGTATTTTGAGCACAGTAGTTGTTTTTAATATTTGATTTCGCTAACTACATTTAAGAATTTATCTGATGGGTTATTTCGGGCTGTTTTAGGACAAAGGACAGTGACGTGCGCATGTGCTTTTATTTTTCTGTTGATGAATGGTAACATTTGGCTCTTCCACAAAATTGTTCAAGTCTATTATAAATGGATAGTGTATTTAAATCCTTAAAAGATAGTCCACAGGTTGTAGGCTTTTCTAATAACTGTAATTTTTAAACAGCAAAAGCTTATCAAGGGTAGTGTGCTTATTTGTATTTGGACGGCATATACGCCCAGTGATGATCACTTTCTCTCCTGCAGAGGGTCTGCGTGGGCAAACACCATTTCCCAGTTCCTACTGTCTATTCTTCTCCTCCTGTACACATGGTGGAAGAAACTCCATGCCGATACCTGGGGAGGTATGAGAAACTTGATTTACATTATGATCATTTGTTATTCAGAAGGGTATAATTCTGGTGTTCGGATATTTTTCTCCCAGAGAGTTTTTTTTTTACTCTTTTGGAAAATTAAAAAAGGTTTCCAAATTGGATTCCTGAAAATATAAAAATTTCAGGTCACTGTGAGTTTTTTTTCTCCTATCCGTAAAGGCAGCTTTTGGTCATAGAAAACGGTTGGCAGCTATTAGGTGTTTTTTTTATTTTTTTTTTTTTTTAATACAAATAGTTTATTGTCAAATTGGTTTCCATATAACACCCAGTGCTCACCCCCACAAGTGCCCTCCTCCATGCCCATCCCCCCCCCCCAGCTGTTAGGTTTAAGAGTTGACACTTTAATGCGTTAAAATTGCAGATACAAAATCCAGGTTTTTCTTTGCAAGTCATCTGTTGTATTAAAGCAGAGTTTGATTAATGTCTTATCAACTCAAGTGAAAAGATTGAACTCCTGAGTAATAGTACCACTTACAGTTTAGCCAAATTCCCTTTTTCTTTTTTTTTTAATGTTTTGTTTATTTCTAGGAGAGAGAGAGAGAGACAGCGTGAGCAGGGGAGGGTCAGAGAGAGAGGGAGTCACAGACTGAAACAGGCTCCAGGCTCTGAGCTGGCAGTCAGCACAGAGCCCGACGTGGGGCTCGACCCCACGAACCGCGAGATCATGACCTAAGCGAAAGTCGGACGCTTAACCAACTAAGCCACCCAGGTGCCCCTAGCCAAATTCCCTTTAATAGTTCAACATGCATTTGTAAATTTAGTTAAATAGATTTATTTTGTTTTCTAATTTTTTTCTTAATGTTTATTTATTTTCAAGAGACAGAGAGACAAGAGCGTGAGCAGGGAGGAGGGGGAGGGAGACACAGAATCCGAAGCAGGCTCCAGCTTCCGAGCTGTCAGTACAGAGCCTGATGTGGGGCTCGAACTCACCAACCACGAGATCGTGACCTGAGCTGAAGTTGGTCGGTTTAACTTACTGAGCCGCCCAGGCACCCCTGTTTTCTTTCTTTCTTTCCTTTTTTTTTTTCCCCAATATTTTTTATTTTATTTCTAGGAGAGAGAGAGAGACAGCGTGAACAGGCGAGGGTCAGAGAGAGAGGGAGTCACAGACTCTGAAATAGGCTCCAGGCTCTGAGCTGGCAGTCAGCACAGAGCCCGACGCGGGGTTCTAACCCATGAACCACGAGATCATGACCTAAGCAAAGGTCAGACGCTTAACCGACTAAGCCACCCTGGCGCCCCTTGTGTGACATCTTTAAAATACATTCTTTTTCTGGAGAACTCTGGTTCCTCCCAGCCTCTGGCCCTTTGGAGGAGGCAGCCATGTGAGGTAGAATTGTTGGCGTCAGAGACCGTTGAGAAGTAAAAGCTGTTTTCTCTCTCCCCTGTTCTCTAGGGTGGACGAGGGACTGTTTCCAGGAGTGGCGCTCCTACATCCAGCTGGCTGTCCCCAGTATGTTCATGGTGTGCATCGAGTGGTGGACCTTTGAGATCGGAACCTTCCTTGCAGGTTGGTCGATAGGCCGGCGGAAGTCCCAGAACAGCCTGGCGAGTCTCGTCGCCAGAGCTTTTCAGGAGACACGGGTCTTACTTCTCCTCCCTGCCCATTCCGCCGAGCTCTCGTAGCCGCGTTCAGTGGGGCTTTAGCTCTGCCTCCCTGCCCTTCACTTTCCGCTCAGAGACGGAAGTCAGGCGTAAGCAGTGTGCCAGGGTCCCGGAGGGGGAGAACTGAAACCCAGATCTGGGTCTCGTGCCGCTCTGACCTGCTTCAGCTGACTTCTGCTGTGCATCGTGCAAGTTTTTAGGTCACGTGTACAGAGTGCCTGATGTGCTCTGTTTTAGACGTGATCTTTGATCATTTTGGTCCTAGGTGTTCGCCATAGCCGTCTTACTGCCAGGAGAGTAACAGGACGTAATAGGGGATGGTGATGATGGATGTTAAAGTCCCTGGGGACACTTGAGTACCCAGTAGTCCCCCCACATCAGAGCTCCCCTCCCCCCCATTGTGACCCTGTGTCTGCCCGAGGAATGACCTGCAACTCTAGGAGCCCCGTTTTCTCCTTTAAACCTGACGTTTTGTTCCCTGGTGGACAGGGACTTGGAGACGGAACCTTACCATGTCAGCTGCCCTAGTTCTTGGAAGGTTCCTGGGAGTGGACCCTGGGGTCGTCCTCGGCACAGATCATGAATTCTGCTGCTGGCTTTTGCTTCTGGGAGCGATCCTGGCTCCCTCTAAGTTAAGACAAGCCCTCGTTTCACAAGGAAAGTGTTTGCTCTGATCTACTTTCTGACATGTGTTTTGTGTGTGTCTGTCCAACATTTCAGGACTGATTAGCGTGACAGAGCTTGGGGCCCAGGCCATCATTTACGAACTGGCCTCTGTAGCCTACATGGTAAGAACCTTTGGGGTGAGCCCTAACCCCTTCTCTGCACAAACTCTGCCAGATTGTTGGCATTGCGTTCCTTCAGCCAGAGCACAGCATACGGGAGGGAGCATGGAGTTTGGAGCCAGACGCTGGGTTTGAGTCTTGCCATGCTGCTCCCCAGCTGTGCGACTGTGGGCTCCTTACTTAACCTTTCTGAGCCTCTGTTTTCTCACATACAAAATGGGGAAACAAATACCTACGCCGAGTGAAGACACAATATGATAATGTGTCAAAGCACTTAGCACGATGCCCGGCATGTTTATTCAACAAATAGGGAGTTGGTGGCACTAGGATGTGATTTTGAGCGAGATGGGGATATTCCCTGCCCTCTGGTGGCTTGTGGCCTGGTGAGGACACAGACACAGACAAGGAAGCAGGTAAACGGGAACATTACAAATACGGGTGACGCGTACCGTAGAAGACGCAAGAAAAGTCTGAGGTGCGTAAAGGTAGAGCTGGCCCCCTGTTTAGGCAGGGCCGTCAGAAGCAGTCCTCCTGAGCTGCTCGTTTGGCTGAGAATTGAAGGGGAGGGGAGCCAGCCCAGGGGGCCCGGGGTGAGAGCTGGCGACAGAGCCTGAGCGAAGACTCTGGGATGGAAGACAGCACTTCGCACGTTCGGGGCCCCAGACAGGAACCTGGCTGACGGGGCTGGTGAGGAAAGAAGGGAGTGACGGGTAGAAGCGGGCTTAGGGGAGGACGGCTGTCTGGGGAGGGGGAGGGGTCCGAAGGAGGCTGTTAGGATCCCCGCGGTGAGCACCTAGGGGAACGGGGAGACAAGTGGGTGAGTTAGTTGTGTGGGAGGCGGAGTGGACGGGACGTGACCGGGGTTTGGGTATGAGGCGCGAGGCCACGAATTCGGAAGAATCACAAACGACCCCAGAGTTTCTAGCTCGAATAACCCCGTGAGGACAATGCCTTTACCTCTTGACTTGAATATTCCAAACCTGTACAAATACTCCCTTTGTTTCAGTTGATTCTTATTTTTTATTATTTTTTAATTTTAATTTTTTAAATTTATTTGTTTTACAACTAGTTTATTGTCAGATTGGTTTCCATATAACACCCAGTGCTCATTCCCACAAGTGCCCTCCTCCATGCCCATCTCCCCCCTCCCCCCCGCACTCATCAGTCCTCAGTTTGTTCTCAGCATTCAACAGTCTCTCATGGGTTGCCTCCTTCCCTCTCCCCCACCATTTCCCCCCTTCTTCTCCCCCACGGTCCTCAGTTAAGTTCCTCCTAATACTCCTATACGTGCAAACATGTGATATTTGTCCTTCTCCGCCTGACTTATTTCGCTCAGCATAACACCCTCAAGGTCCATCCGTGTGGCTACAAATGGCCAGATTTCATTGTTTCTCATTGCCGTCTAGTATTCCATGGTATAGATAAACCACATCTTCTTGATCCATTCGTCCGTTGATGGACACTTAGGCTCTTTCCGTGTTTTGGCTGTTGTTGAGAGTGCTGCTATGAACATTGGGGTCCATGTGCCCTATGCATCAGCACTCCGGTATCCCTTGGGTAAATTCCTAGCAGTGCTATTGCTGGGTCACATGGGAGTTCTATTGTTAATTTTTTGAGGAACGTCCACACTGCTACATTCCCACCAACAGTGTAGGAGGGTGCCCGTTTCTCCACATCCTCGCCAGCATCTAGAGTCCTCTGATTTGCTCATTTTAGCCACTCTGACCCGCGTGAGGTTGTATCTCAGTGTGGTTTTGATTTGTATTTCCCTGATGAGGAGGGATGCTGAGCACCGTTTCATGTGTCTGTTGGCCATCTGGCTGTCCTCTTTGGAGAAGTGTCTGTTCATATCTTCTGCCCATTTCTTCACTGGGTTGTTTGTTTTTCAGGTGTGGAGTTTGGTGAGTTCCTTATAGATTTTGGATATTAACCCTTTATCTGATATGTCATTTGCAACTATCTTTTCCCATCCCGTCGGTTGCCTATTAGTTTTGTGGGTTGTTTCCTTTGCTGTGCAGAAGCTTATTATTTTTTAATTTTTAAATGTTTACTTATTTTGAGAGAGGAAAAGCATGAGCTGGGAGGGGCAGAGACTTGAGGGAGAGAGAAAGAGGGAGAAGGAGAGAGAGAGGGAGAGTCCCAACCCGACTCCATGCTGTCTGCGCAGAGCCCAGTCCGGGGCTTGATCCACAAATGCTGCAGTCATGACTTGAGCTGAAATCAAGAGTCAGACGCTTAATTGACTGAGCCATCCAGGCGCCCTGATTCTTATTTTTTTTAAAGACCGAGAGAGGCCAGGGCGCCTGGATGGCTCAGTCGGTTAAGCGTCCAACTTTGGCTCAGGTAATGATCACACGGTTCATGGGTTCGAGCCCCACATCGGGCTCTGTGCTGACAGCTCAGAGCCTGGAGCCTGTTTCCAATTCTGTATTTCCTTCTCTCCCTGACCCTCCCCTGCTCACTCTCTCTCTCTCTCTCTGTCTCTTTCTCTCTCTCTCAGAAATAAATAAAACATTAAAAAAAAGAAAAAGACCAAGAGAGGCCATCACGGCAATGGGATTGTGGAGGTTTTGTTTCCGTTTTTCTTTTAAATCTTAGACATGAAAAGAAAAAGGCTTTTTAGTGAGGATTGATGAAGTCGCTTAGGCAGAAAAGGGAAGAGTGTTCAGGAGCAAGCCCCAAGGTGTAGGAATCAGGAGGCGGACGGCTCAGCGAAAAGGGAAGACAGGGCAGTGTGGAGTGAAGGAAATCAAGACAACACGTTGTAGAGGAATCGAGCTATGACGGAGGAGTCACAGAAGGAATGGCAGTTGTACGCAGGACCAGTAGGAGGTAGCCTAGGGTGAAGTTGGAAAGAGTCCCCTGGGTTTTGGGTCATTAGAGGCCTTGCATACAAGAGTCATTATTCCAACGCTTTCAAGGTTGGTGAAGGAGCAGAGGCTGCTGACCAAACCTGTCTGGAGGTTTGGTAGTTGATGGCGGGAAACCAGACCATCAAGGGAGGGTTTTGGTTTTGCCTCTGTTTTGAAACGGGGACACCAGAGCTTGTGTGGTACGTGGTGGGCAGTACCTGTCTTCTAAATCTGTCACCTTCAGACCTTCTGTGTTTCTACCTGCTCTGTCATGGGCTTCCTTTTGTTTTCTTTTCCTTTTTAGTGGTGGTAAAAACCGCATCACATGAAAGTTACCATCTTAACCACTTTTAACTATGCCACACAGTAGCGTTACCATTGCTGCGCAGGTGCCAGGGCGGCTCCGTTGGTTAGCGCCGACTTGGGCTCAGGCCACGATCTCACGGTTCGGGAGTTCGAGCCCTGTGTCAGGGTTTGCGCTGATGGTGCGGAGCCTGCTTGGGATTCTCCCTCTCTCCTCTCTCTCTCTGCCTCTCCCCTACTCGTGACTTCTATCTCAAAATACATAAACTTAGAAAATCATCATGCAGCTAATCCCCAGAAACTTTTCACCCTGTAAGACTGAAACTCTACCCATCAAACAGTCGCCCCCTCCTCCCTCAGCCTTCGGCAACCACGGTTTCACTTTCTGATTTTTGTCTCGGGCTTCCCTCTGTTAGAGCCAGTAAGGAGATGATTCTTCATTATTCATGTGTAAAAAAACAAGTCCCCACAGGGGTGAGCTTACAATAAAAATTATAAAATACAAGGAAATAATCTGTGGGCAAGAGCTTGAACAGGTACAGCCAACAGGAAAATCGGAGTTCAGAACTTGAGATGATGGTATAATAATGGAGGAACAGGAAAGTATTTTTGGTTAAAGTCATGAAACATAAAAGAAGGAGCTACAACCGAAAGAACAATGTTTGGAAAGGAACCAGGTGAGATTTTTTTCAGTTACAAATTATAGTCAAACAAATGTAATACTCGGTAGGATCAGATTAGGTAAAGCTGGAAAGTCAGATAATGAACTTGAAGATCAACCTGTATATATACAATCAAATGATCTTCAACAAAGATGCAGAGACCATTCACTGGGGACAGGACAGTCTTTTCAGGAACGGACCCCAGGAAGACTGGACACTCACATGCAAAAGAATGAAGGTGCCCTCTTAACTCACGCCATATACAGAAATTAACTCAAAGTGCATCAAAGACCTAAACGTAAGCCCTAAACAATAAAACCTTTAGAAGACAGAAGGCGAAAGCTTCGTGACATTGGATTTGGCAATGATTTCTTGCATGTGACCCCAAAGGCACAGGCAACGAAAGAAAAAAATAGACAAGCTGGACTTGATGAATGAAAAATTAGTTGTATCCAAAGGCCATACCCACAGAGTAAAAAGGCAGCCCACAGAATGGGAGAAAATACCTGCAAATCCTGTGGGATAGGGGAGTAGTATCCAAAATATAGAGAGAACTACTAACATTTAGTAGCAAAACAAAAACAAAAAGAAAAACAAAAAACCAAACAACTGGATTAAAAAATGGGCCAAGGACTTGAACAGATTTTTCCCCCCAAGGAAGATATACAGATGGACAATAAGCACGTGAAAAGATACTCAGCTTCACTGATCATTCGGAAATAATTACCAAAACAACTACATTGAGATACCATCTTATATACATCTTGTACTATTCAGAAAACCCAAACACACAGAAAATAACAAGTATTGGTGGGAATGTAATATGGTGCAGCCACTGGAAAGAAAGTGTGGTGGTTCTTCAAAAAATTAAAAATAAAAGTGTCATGTGATCAGGCAGCGTCACTTTGGGGTAGACCTAAAAACCGAAAGTAAGATCTCCAAGAGATACCTGCACACCCACGTTCACGGCAGCGTTACGCACAGTAGCTAAAAGGTGGGAGCCACTCACATGTCCATCGACAGATGAATGGATAAGAAGAGTGTGATATGTACATACAGTACAGTATTAATCAGCCTTAAAAAGGAAGGAGATTATGACACAGGCTAAAAAATGGATGAACCGTGGGTCAATTGCTACTTGAAATAAGCCACTCCCAAAAAGACATAGAGGCATACCTCAGATGTA